ATAAACAACCCTAGGCCCACAAATTTAATAAACTAAGTGAAACAACTCCTTAAAAGGCACAATCTGCTAAAACTCACAGAAGAAACAATCTGAATGTCTGCCTCTTTTAAAGAAACTGGATCAATAATTAATAACTTTCCAAAACAGAAGTCATTAAGCCCATATTGTTATGTTGGTTAATTCTGCTAAACATTTAAGGAAGAAATTACACCAATTACTACAAGCAGAATATTTCCCGACCCATTCTATGTAGCCAGCATCATCCCAAGAGCAAAACCAAAGACATTACAAGGAAACTACACAGCTTTCATGAACATAAATGAAAAATCTTCAGTAACATATTAGCAAATTGAATCCAACAACATAGAATTATACACTATAATCAAGTGGAATTTATTTTAAATACATGTATTAGTTCATTCTCACACTGCTATAAAGAACTGCCAGAGGCCAGGCGCAGTTGCACACACCTATAATCCCAGCACTTTGCCAGGAGGGTGGATCACCTGAGGTCAGGAATTCGAGAGCAGCCTAACATGGTGAAATCCCATCTCTACTAAGTACAAAGACATTAGCCGGGTGTGGCTGGCGCATGCCTGTAATCCCAGCTACTTGGGAGGGTGAGGCAGGAGAATAGCTTGAACCAAGAGGCAGAAGTTGCAGTGAGCCAAGATCACGCCATTGCACTCCAGCCTGGGCAGCCAGAGCACAACTCCATCCGAAAAACAAAAACATTAAAACAAACAAACAAACAAACAAACAAAAACTGCCAGAAAAATGGGTAATTTATAATGGAAAGAGGTTTAATTGACTCACAGTTCAGTACAGCTGGTGAGGCCTCAGGAAACTTATAATCCTGGTGAAAGGGGAAGCAAACATATCCTCCTTCACGTGGTGGCAGGGAGAAGAAAAATGAGGACCCAGTGAAGGGGAAGCCCAGTTATAAAACCATCAGATCTCATGAGAACTAACTCACTACCACGAGGACAGGATGGGGAAAACTGCTCCCATGATTCAATTGTCTCCACCTGGACTCTCCCTCAACAAGTGGGGATTATAAGAACAATTCAAGATGAGGTTTGGGTGGAAACGCAGCCAAATCATATCAGTATGCAAGCCTGGCTTAACAGTCAAAAATCAATTAATGTAATCCATCACAACAGCAGGCTAAACAAAACAAAAAAAAAAATCAAAATCACATTAATACTGAAAAAGCATTAACAAAATCATTCATGATAAAAACTCAGCATACTGGGAATAGAGGGACAATATCCTCACCTTGAAAAGAACGTCTACTAAAAACCTATAGCTAACATTATATTAATGGTGAGGAACTCAAAGTTTTATCACTAAGATCAGAAAGAAGGCAAGGATGTCTACTCTCACCACTGCTTTTCAGCATCATATTGGAAGTTCTAACTAATGTAATAAAACAAGAAAAGGAAATAAAAGGTATACAGATTGGACAGGGAAAAAATACATAAAATTGTCTCTTCATAGATGACATGATATGTGAAATAATCACAAAAAACTCCTGGAACTAATACGTGATATAGCAAAGTGACAGAATACAAAGTTAACTTCCAACATCAATTGCTTTCCTATAAACCAGCAATAAAGGGGCAGATTTTCAAATATAAAAGAATATCATTTACATTATCACTTCTAAAAATGAAATACCTAGATGTAATGCTTACAGCACACATACACGATCTATATGAAGTAAACTACAAACTTTGATGAAAGATGACAACTAAATGGATATTCTGCGTTCATAAATAGGAAGAATCAACATTGTCAAGATGCTCAGTTCTCCCCAACTTGATCTACAAATTCAACACAATCTCAACCAGTCCCATAAAGTTACTTTGTAAATACTGACAAACTGATTCTAAAGTTTATATGGAAAGTGCCAGGCATGGTGGCTCATGCCTGTAATCCCAACACTCTGGGAGGCCAAGGTGGGAAGATTGCTTGAGCCAAGGAGTTTGAGATCAACCTGGGTAACATAGTGAGATCTCGACTCTACAAAAAAAATTAAAATTAGCTGGGTGTGATGGTATGTGCCTATGGGCCCAGCTACTCAGGAGGCTGGGGTGGGAGGATCCCCTCAACCCATAAATTCAAGGTTGCATTGAGCTGTCATTGTGCCACTGCACTCCAGCCTGGAAAACAGGGTGAGAACCCATCTCAAAAAAATAATACTTAATAAAAATTAGGTTAAATGGAAGGCAGAGGACTCAGAATGGCCAACTCAATGTTAAAGAAGAACAAAGTAGGCCAGGCACGGTGGCTTATGCCTGTAATCCCAGCACTTTGAGAGGCAGAGGCAGGTGGATCACGAGGTCAGGAGTTCAAGATCAGCCTGACCAAGATGGTGAAACTCCATCTCTACTAAAAATACAAAAATTAGCCAGGCATGGTGGTGGCGTGCCTATAATCCCAGCTACTCAGGAGGCTGAGGCAGGAGAATCACTTGAACCTGGGAGACGGAGGTTGCAGTAGTTGAGATCACACCACTGCACTCCATCCTGGGCAACAGAGCGAGACTCTGTCTCAAAAAAAAAAAAAGAAGAAGAAGAGAACAAAGTTGGAGGACTGACTCTATCTGACTTCAAGATTTATTTCAAAGCTACAGCAATGAAGCCAGTGTGGTATTGGCAAAAGAATTGGTAAATAGGCCAATGGAACAGAATAGAATGCTCAGAAATAGACCTACATAAATGTCAACTGATCATTCAACAAAGGAGCAAAGGTTATACAATGTAGAAAAGACAATCTTTGCAGACATTCACATGCAAAGAAATAAACCTAGACATGAACCTTATACCTTTCATAAAAAATTAACCCCAAAAGATAATAGAATTAAATTTAAAATGCAAAACTATAAAAATTCCTAGAAGATAAATTGATGACCTTGGGCAGAACAATGACTTTTTAGCTACAACATCAAAGGCACTATCCATGAAAGAAATAACTGATAAAACTGAACCTCATTAAAATAAAACACTTGTGCTCTATGAAAATACCAGGAGTAAGACAAGCCATAGACTGGGGAAAAAAATACTTCCAAAAGACATTTGAAAAAGGACTGTCATCTAAAACATACAAAGAACTCAAAACTCCACAAGAAAATGACCCCCAAAACTCAAACAGAACCTTGCCAAAGATGGCAAGTATGTGAAAAGATGTTCAACATCACGTCACTAGGGAATCACAATTAAAAGGAGATAACTACAGATCTATAAGAATGACCCAAATCCAAAATCATACCACCACCAAATACTGAAGTGGCTGGGTATGAAACAATGTGTACTCTTTCACTGCTGGTGGGAATACAAAAGGGCACATACCCACTTTCAAATATCATTTGGCTGTTTCTTATAAAATTAAATATATTCTTACCATGCAATCCTGCAACTGCTCTCCTTGATATTTACCCAAAGAAGCTGAAAACTTAGTCCACACATAAACCTGCACACAGATGTTTATAGGAGCTTTATTCATAATTGCCAAAACCTCAAAACAACTAAGACATCTTTCAGTAGGTTAGTGGGTAAACTGTTTTACAGCAGATGATGGAATATTATTCAGCACTAAAAAGAAATGAGTGATCAAGCCATGAAAAGTCATGGAGGAAACTTATATATTCCTAGGTGAAAAGTGAATGAAGCCCATCTGAAAAGGCTACATGCTATATGATTCCAAGTATATGACATTCTAGAAAATGCAACACTATGAATATAGCAAAATGATTAGTTGACAGGGATGGAGGGGATGAACAGGCAGAACAGGGGGGTTTTAAGGCAGTAAAAACAATGGCAGATAAATATGCATTTGTCCAAACCTACAGAATGTATAACACCAAGAATAACCCTAATGTAAGCCTTGGACTTTGGGTTATATGTTGATTAGGTTCATTAATTAATTAGGTTCATTAATTGCAACCAATGTACCAAGTATGGAGGGAAATGCTGATAGTAGGGATGGTTCTGGAGGGCAAAGGAGAAACAGTTGAGTATATGAGACGCTTTACTTTCTCCCCAATTTTGCTATGAACCTAAAACTGCTCTTAAAAAATAAAAAATAAAGATGTTTTAAAGTTTACGAATTAAAATAAGACATAAAACTGGTAAAATCCAAATTAGGTCTAGTAGTTTAGTTAATAGGAGTACACCAAAGTTAACTGTCTTGATAAAATACTCTTTTAAATAAAGTGTTATCACAGAGAAATAACTAAGTGACAGGTAAACGGGAACTCTCTAATATTGCTGCAACTTTTATGGGTCAAAAGGTATTTCAAAAAAATTTTTAGCACAGAGCACAGTGGCTCATGCCTGTAATCCCAGTGCTTTGGGAGGGCAAGGCAGGATGATCACTTGAGCCCAGGAGTTTGAGACCAGCCTGAACAACAACACCCCATCTATATAAAAAATAATTTTAAACAGTCATCACGGTGGTGCAAGCCCTGTAGTCCCAGCTACTTAAGGGGCTGAGGCAGTATTGCTTGAGCCCAGGAGTTTAAGATTGTAGTAAACTATGATTGTGCCACTGTACTCCAGCCTAGGTGACCCTGTCTCTTAAAAAAAAAAAAAAAAAAAAAAAATTAAAAGAAGAGGTAAGTTAGTCAAATTAAGAAGGCTATTGTTTACCAGAATTTATATACACTTAATGTTGCAATGTATCTAGCATTTATTTTTCTAAGGTAGTAAGATCTGCATCTCTATTTTAGAAACATTTTACAACTCTGTTCTTTAAAATATGACAGACGTTAAGTTCTAGGCGGCTCAGTATGTAATGCTTTAAGTTTTAGGCATAGCAGAAGAGAAAATTCTGGAGAAAAATAGCCTTTTATTATTAATTACCTTTCTAGGAGAGCAACCTATAAAGAGCCAAATATAAATTCTAATGGAAGACATGATATAGGTAAGAGATCCAAGAGATAATGCAGACCACCACCCCTAGGCTTGATTCTCTTATGACTAAGACACTGGGACAACTTTTGAGTCATGATAAATAAATAATAGATTTTTATTAGCGTCTTTTCAATTCTACAAACTTTTAAAGCCATTATACATTTTTAAAGGTTAATAAAAATCACTGAAATATGTCTACACTTAGAATCAATGTAATTTGTACAGACAATTTTCACCTTTAATATTCATAATTTTTTCTTTAAAAGTAGAATAAATTTTAATTCTGAAAAGATGTAACAATTTCCATGAAAGCAGGTCCACTGTAGTACATGAGGTTTATACTTATTAAGAAATATTTAATTAAGTAGACACATTCATTTATACCAAACAAAAAAAAATGTTTATGTATCATGAGACAGTTTAAATATGTACAGTAATTACAGATTTGAAATTAAGTCCCCTTTGCAAATATCAGTGCATCTGGACTGGTTAATCCACTAAATTATTATTTTGAATAAGAAACCAAAAACAAAAATGACATTTTGGAAACAAAAATAATAGTTTCAAAATGAAAGTGACCTTACCCTCATTTTAAAATGCATAAAATTTTCTAAAATGTAAAATGGAAAGGTTTAATACAAAGGAAAAATACTGCTCACCTTAACTAAACAAACTGGAAAGAAAATATCTTTATATACAGAACTAAGATGAATCCATGCAAGGTTTTACAAATGTTCGCATAGATGGTTTAGAGATAAGTAGTTAAATGTCTCAATTAACTACTAACCTCTGTCTTCATTAATTTTATTTCCTAGTTCAACAAAAAACAATAATGCTTTCAGGATATACTATATATAAATCAGGATCATTTTTTATCAGTAATTTCTCTGAAAAAGAGAAAAAAACTTAAAGCAGAACCCTACAAAGGAAAGCAAACTACAAAGCAAACAGTAACAGTGTTTGCAAAGTAGAAATGTGTGACTTTTATTTTAACTTTGAAATAGCAGGCTACCTAATTAATCCAGACAGTAGAGAAAGCAAACTGAGGCAGGAAATAAGAGGTGGGCTAAACTGCTAAGAAATAATCATTTAAAATAAAACTTTAGAATCCTTATTCTAGGGATTCCTTTAATTCCACTTTGCAACTTTTAATAGGTACACTAATTTACACAGGGCACACTACCAATTACTGTGTAACATTAAAGCTTTCAGTTAAGAAACTGGTTAGCAGTGAGGTGAGATGCAACAGGGAAAAAAGCTAACCTGCCAAGGAAGACAAAAGAGCAGCAAGATAGAAGGAAGCTGGATCTTTTATAATGTAGTTTAGCCACTCGAACCATCTACCCCTACACTTGATTCTGGAACCATCTACCCCTACACTTCCTGCTATGAGAAATAATGTATTTGTCTTTAAATGTCTTTTTTTTTTTTAAAGAAAAGAAAAGAAACTGGTCAAAAAGCTTTCCATGAGATTCATTTTAAAAATCTTTTTGTTTTCCTTAGAACAAAGATGGTTAAAAACTTGGGTTTTCTAAACAAACTTGTATTAATATGAAGTTAGGAAGATACACAAAGCTGAAGTGTCTGGAACCATTTGGCTGACTGCAGTCTTCAGCAAGATCACAAAGTACTCAAAAATTCTTTGACCTGAGGAAAGGAAAAAAAATCAATATAATTCCTTGACTAATTTTAGATATCTAATATTCACCTTCATTTAAAAGTATATTCGTTGAAGATCCCAGCTGTATAAGCAACAATCACAATGTCATAGCATTTACTTTCCAAAGAAATGTTGTTAAGACAGGGTGCAGTGGCTCATGCCTGTAATCCCAGCTCTTTGGGAGGCCGAGGTGGGTGGATCACTTAAGGTCAGGAGGTCAAGACCAGCCTGAACAACATGGTGAAACCTCGTCTCTACTAAAAATACAAAAATTAGCTAGGCATGGAGGCGTGCACTTGTTATCCCAGCTACTTGGGAGGCTGAGGCAGCAGAATAGGTTTAACCTGGGAGGCGGAAATTACAGTGAGCTGAGATCATGCCACTGCACTCCAGCCTGGGTGATGGAGCAAGGCTGTCTGGGAAAAAAAGAAATACTATTAAATACTTTAGTAGTATAAGATGAATGACCTAAAAGGTCATTTTAGGAGTTTATTGCTCTGTTGCCCAGGCTGAGTATAGTGGTTCAATCACAGTTCACTGCAGCCTTGAACTCCTGGCTAGGCACAAACCACCATGTCTGGCTAGTTTTTGTTTGTTTTTTATAGAGATGAGGTCTCACCAGTCTGGTCAGGAACTCCTGGGCTCAAGCAATCTTCTCATCTCAGCCTCCCAAAGTGCTGGGATTACAGGTATGAGTCACTGCATCTATCAATCTAAGATTGACATAATTCTAAAAATAGCTGTAACACCAATTTTATAATCTCTTTATTTAAATACCATAGACTATTGACATGTGCAGCTTCAACACTGATAAAATTAATAAGCACAATAGTTCAAGCAACTTTGAAGATGAAACATATAGTAGATTTGTCATGTTTCTGAAGCACAGATGTGAATTATATACTCTGCAATGTCAGTGTGTAGGGAAAATCATATAAGGAGTCAATGAACCTAGCCAACTGACCACAATGTAAGAATACACTTGTTCTCTACATATTCTATCAATAATTCTCAAGAGACAAAGATTATCATCTTGTAAAAATACTTTAAAAAGTCAACCACTAGCACTATTAATAAAAGTAAATATAATCATGTGAATGATTCTTAGTCAAAACAAAGTAGTGTTAGATAAAATTAAAAAGTGGTTTTACAAAGTCAGTTAAATTGATGGTTAGTTGTTAATACTGACTTAATTTCATTTACTTTAATAGTATTATAAGAGAATTTGTCCTACATTTTTAACATCATTAATAGTATGAAGAGGTCACTGGAATTTTCCAGATAAGCTTTAGTTCATATCAATGGGAAAAACAACTACATGTATAGACTACAATAGTTACATAAAATGGGAAGATTTTCAAAATTCTTGAAATATATCCCTTATGAATGTTAAGTCTCTATTAAACAGCAGATATGTCACAAAAGAAATGAAAAATCTAATTTCTCTCAAAACTAAACCAAACAAATTGTGGTTTCTTCTTTATAGTTTAATCACTGAGTTATCAACGTGGGTAAAGGGACATTTGTTATACAAATTCCCTTATTATTCTCTCTCAAATGTTCATCAATAAATTCTCACCCAGTCCCTTTATCAATATGGGCACCACTTACTTATCAGAATACGGTGAACTATGATTAAGATAATGACTCAATGATTAGGCAATGCCAATTAATCCTTGACATGATCTGAGATGAAACTCAAAACTTTTAATCCTTTAATCACAGAGTTTAGCCAACGTAAAAATGGATGAGATCCATATGCTACAACTTTAAATATCCTCCATATTGAATTTGGTTGAAAAAGAGAAATTTAATTTCACAAGCAGTTTATTATTAAAATATCTAAAGCTTGGTGGTATAGGGAAGAGAGGAAGAAATGGGGACAAAGCAGAGAAAAAGGGAGTGAGAAAGAATTTTCGTTATGATTTTCCCTATCCTACAAAAAGAGGCACTAAAGGATTTAAAAAAATCCTTATTTATTTATTTATTTATTTATTTATTTATTTTCTAAGAGATCTGTCAGATTCTGAGATTTTGAAGCATCCTTATTTTAGCTCAGGCCACAAAGCTAGACTTCAGTCAGGACTGGGATCTAAACAGTCCAAAATCTTCTAAAGCTCTTAATTGTTTCTTAATGTAACTTTATGGAACCTTTTCTGTTAGAAAATTATTTTCTCACAAGTTAGTATATTTTTTTAGACAAAACAAATATTAGTTTGTAGTCTAAGGATCTACCTTTTCCACCAGACTTTCATGTTTGTCTTTAAAGTCTTCATTAACATCCAGTGTTAAGATAGGCACCTCTTGAAGATAATTGAAGTTGGTTCTGTTTAAAAAGAGATTAATAAAATAATCAGAAATTTAGAAAAAAAGAGAGAAACATTAAAAATTCATTCTTATATCATTGGAAACTCAAAATGTTGTCAACCATTTACACTAAAGTTACTTTGCAATACTTTATCTGTCAGGCCCTTCTTTCTCATCAAGATTTACCATATGGAGCCAAAAAACTCAGATACAAAATATATAAAGCTAGGTACTATAACATACAATTCTCTTCAAAAACAAAACACAGACAATAAAGTAGGAATTTCTGCATTTTAAAGATAAGAAAACTAAAGCTCAGAATTGTCATTTTGAAGCTCAGAGGCTATTCAAGGTCACACATTAATAAATGAGACTGGACTTGAACCAAGACCTGACTAATAACAAAGTCTATCCTCTCAAAAATTATGCTATACAATCTCCCAAGTCAAAATTCGTTCTGAAAGAGTACCTAAATAATGTACAGATATATTTCCTACGTTCACTTAAAGTGAAATTTCATATGTTATGCTATCAATATTACCAAGTTTTTATAAAGTTATAAAAACTTTAAGAACATAGGATCTCATTGCAATCAAGAGAATCAAAATCTATACCTAGTTCTGGAAGATACCAGTAAGTAAATGACTGAAAATTTTACACGTTGCTAGTCGTATCTTCCAAATTTTAGATTAAAATTTAACAAAGATATTTAAAACAAATAGTAAATAAAAATAAGGACGCCTTACTTCAGTGTCCTATGCAGGAGCCAGCTTTCATGTTTATGATGAAGCTTCTCTAAATATTCAAGAGGAATGCCTTGCTCTTCATTTCTTCCCCTTATATACATTCTATGTAAGCATTTCTAAAAGCCAGTAATAAGAGATGGAAGAAAAAGACAGGGAACAATTATTCTTGTCTGCTGTCATCAAAATTTTCTCTTCTGGGTCTCTCTACTCACACTAGCCAAAATCTCTACATACCACTTCTTAAAAGTTGAAAAAAATTATTTTTCCCTCCATGAGCTTTTCAGCCACATGGTGGCTCTAAACCAAGCAGTACTTTCAAAAATAAGTTAAAGTAAGTCTATAAATTTTTGGTATCCACACATGAAATATACTAAGTTTGATAAAAAGGAGAAAAAAAAATTAAACATCTACTTAAAATTTTCAGAGACAACAGCTAAAAGATAGGCCAATCTATACAGGTAATCTTACTTTGCTGTTAATCAAACTTGATTATAAAACATCCATGTTCAGTTCATGTAAAACCACTAAAGGCAGTGGTTCTTCATGTGATGAAAGCTCTATACCAGCACAACGAAAACAACTTTGGAATGTTTTATGCCTGTCCTGTAGTTGCATTATCAAATAAGGTAGCTACTAGCCGCCTGTGGTTTTTAAGCACTTGAAATATGGCTCATGTGGTGACCAAGGAATTAAATTTCTAAATTTTATTTAATTTTAATAACCTTAAATTTAAATAGCCACTTTGGACAGTGCAGCTCTGGATTATGTTCCCCCAAAAGTACACCTAAATAAAAACTTTCGTATAATTTTTAGGGGTTCATAGACCCTGAGAAACTCCTCATGCATTTCAAGAAATAAAAACCTTCAACCCAAACGACATGCATTAAGACCATGGCAGCGGCCGGGCGCGATGGCTCAAGCCTGTAATCCCAGCACTTTGGGAGGCCGAGGCGGGTGGATCACGAGGTCAAGAGATCGAAACCATCCTGGTCGACATGGTGAAACCCCGTCTCTACTAAAAATACAAAAAATTAGCTGGGCATGGTGGCGCGTGCCTGTAATCTCAGCTACTCAGGAGGCTGAGGCAGGAGAATTGCCTGAACCCAGGAAGCGGAGGTTGCGGTGAGCCGAGATCGCTCCATTGCACTCCAGCCTGGGTAACAAGAGCGAAACTCTGTCTAAAAAACAAAACAAAACAAAACAAAACAAAACAAAACAAAAAAACCATGGCAGCATACAAACTGTTGCAAAGTCTACTCTCAATTCTCTTTCAATAATTAAACAATCCTTTCTTCAAAGGATATCAGAAACAATACTGATGAAATAAAGTTGTGTGCTAGACTTCAAGATGCTATGAATGTTTCTATCAAAATGAAATTATTAGTATTTATGTTTTTTGGTTTATACTATTTTTCATAACTTCAAGAAATCTTTTCAAAAATAAAAGTGAATTCTGAAATTATAATTGCTAAATTCTAGTTTACTAAATATTGATTATAAATGTTTCAAGCAAAATGAAATTATTCGTATTCTTTGTTATTTTTCACATTTTTATTTACTATGTAATTAAAAACAAAAAACTTTCAGAAGTAAAAGTAAATTTCAAAGTTGAAATTGAAAAAGTCACTTTTGAAACTGCTAAATAATTGCTAAATCCTCACTTAATGAAGAACAAAATCATTCATTGGAATCAGAAACCCAATTTCTTTAAAAACTCAGCTTCAATAGCAACACATTATTCTAACTAATTTTTCGGGCAAAAGTTATGACATTTACGTTCATCAGTGCCTACCCTGTGACTCAAGGAAGAAATGAGAATTAAAAAACAGAAACAACAGAAATGAAAGCACCAAAACCAGAAAGCTTCTGATTAAATATAAGATCTTAATATTTAGGTTAGTTTTATGAAAGGTATCTATTTAGTCTTTCTGTATTCATTATATAACATCACATGTAAATAGAATAGCTATGCTACAAACTATCACAAAAAGCACTTTTTCAAGTGAACTCTCTTAATTGAAAATGGTCCTCTAAGTCTTCCCAACTATAGCTGGCATTATTCACTCATTCCAAGCCACAAACAACCATAATAAAAGATTTCTTGAAAAGGATCTCCATACTCCATTCACTCAATAAATATTTACTGAGCCCTTACTATGTGCTCCGACACTGCCTAGAACTGTTCTAGGGGCTGGAAATTTAACAGTAATCAGAACACCCAAGGTCCCACCTCATGAAGCCTATATTCTAGGAGTTGCTTGATCACATTCCTTACTTTAATTGTGATGAATAAGAGAGTCTGCAAATGTTGGGAAGAAATAATGAGTAAAAATAAAAAAGAATTGAGGAAGCATAAAGAGCCTAAAAAAGCAAGTTGGCCAGTCTGTGATTCTAGTTTGCTGAGAAAAAAGAATACCTCTATCTATACAGTTACAAGTTTCTAATTTGGAGTGGGAGGTTGGAAGGCTGGAGTAAACTAAATTGCCCTCATTACATACCACTGAAAAGAGTTCTAAATATTTCTTTAAATTTTCATGAAACACATTTTTATTGGGTTTTACCTCTGGAGTGGCTCGAAGATAAATGATTCCATCCAATTCAAGGCTTTGGCCAAGTTGGTTATTCATCCAGTCATGCCAGTCTTGATAAATTGTCCACTCTGTTTCATTCATGCATTCAGATTCATACAAATTAGACGCAAAAATATACCTAAAAGAGAGTCTTCATCAATACATGTATCATTTCCAAAAAAAAAACCAACAAAGAAATAAAAAAGAGAATAAGAACATGAAACATTCTCCTAAATCCAGTGGCACATAGTGCCGTGGACAGCCAAAAAAGACAGAAGTCTTTCCATCTACAGGAAATATGTTCTTGGCCAATGGTTCTCAAAATATGGAGTGAGGATTCCATAAATCCCCAAGATCTTCTTAGGGGTTCTGTGAGAGGCCAGATTACTTCATATACCAACATACTTCAAACAAATGAACATACCGTTAACAGATTAACTACAGAAGCATAAATAAAAATCCAACTCTTTTTAAATAAGTGAGGCATTAAAGATATCTTCAAAAATGTAAAGCAATGATACTCTTCTAGCTACTTTTTATTTTAGAAAATATCATTGTTTTTGTCAAATTTATATTAATATGTAATGATTTTATTAATTTTAAATCATTTTTATGCATATTAATTTTTAGTAACCTAAATATCAATAGGACAAGCCCTTTGCACGCCGCAATAGTTATTAAAAATCGAAAAGGGTCCTAAGATCAAAAGTTTGAAAATCTCTTTTCTGAGCTAATTTTGGAGGTCAAAAGAATCCTAGCGTAAGTAGCAATTCTAAGGCCCCTTAGAGACTTTTATCTTCTTGCTCCAGGTAAGAGTCTAGGATATAGATCCAGATTTAACCAGAGTACGTGATAATTTTAAAAGGGTTAGAGGAAAAAACAACTTCTCTGCAAATTTAATTTGAGATGGCCACCACCATATTCCCAACAGTTTCTATGGAAGCTAGGGATTATAAATGCAATAACTTTTCTAATGCCATTAGTACCAGACTACTGAGGGATTTAAATGTCATTTTCCATCTTAAATCCCCTAACTCAGCCATTCATATTACCAATTCCCAGGAAACGCTAAAAAAAAAAAAAGAAAGAAAGAAAGAAAGAAAAAGAAAAAATGTCCAGTTCTAAGACAAAAACTTTAAATGGCCAAGTAAAGTCATTTATACATACCTGTCACTATACACAGATCGTTCAAAAAATAATACCGGTTTCTCTGCATCTTTGAGCTTGCCATTGAGAGAGGCAAGCTGAGCTCTTATTCGACTGAGACAGGCATATGTTTGGAAGGTAAAAGACCATCGTTCTGGTTTCTCATACATCATCTGAAGAACATTCCCACCATTTTTCTGAGACGTTGTAAGTTCCTATTGTGAATGTGCAAAAAAGAAATGAAAAGCAAAATAAATGATCAATAGGGCTGTTTTAATATTTTAAGGCTAAAAAAGAAGAGTTAGATAAATAAATGCAATCATGATTAGTAAAACCAAGATGATTAAGTTCCCTTTCTCATACTCTTTCTCAATGTATTTTTCAGATTGCCTAAGGTCTGGAAAAATCCTTAGATCTTTCTCACAGGAGGTTACAAACTAATAACCTATGGAAGAAATCATTGTTTGGCCCAAAAGACCTTTGTAAAACTTTGACTTAGTTGTCAATATTATTGTCAATATTTAAAAGCTAAATAATTTCACATAAAATATTTGGATTTACATCTTTTTAAAAATGGAGAAAACAACAACAACAAGAAGAAGTAATACCATACCCATCTTGGCAAAATCCCTCTTGGCAAAAATCATCTACGGCCAAGTCGCAGATGCCTCCTTTAGATGGGATATATGTTCTCCAGTTTATCAACCTCCACCATTCCCTGATGATTTTCATAACAGGTCTGATGTATTCATTTGGCTGTCTGGCTCCTTTAGGCACTTGTATTTGTAACCCTCCAATCTTCTAATAGAATAGAATAGTTCCCTCCCCAAGATTTTGCAATTCAATAATCTTATTGTCAGAACCATGTTTTCCAGGTTGAGGAAAAATGCAAATGTAGATTTTAAAATGAAGTAAAACTCTATCATCTACTATCTGAATTAGAAATAGCATATGGAACACATGAATTATTTTTCTCTTTCTATATCATTTTTCCAGTTCTGTCCACCAAAAGGCCTATGAACAATGACAACCTTGTAGGAATATACAACAATATCACCCAGATTATCATCTCTAAATACCATTTCCCTCTGAAAGGAATTAGAATTCTGATTCTAAATCTGGGTAAGAAAATATACAAGAGGAGCGTCACCTTGTATATTTTAGGAAACTATTACAAACCACTGCGATTGTGCCAAGGACATAAGCTGCCACTGGTCAAAGAATACTTGGAACATCTCCAATGGGAGGCAAAAATTCATGAGTTTATAATACTAAAAAACAAACAAACAAACAAAAACAAAACAAAACAAAAAACTCTAGTCATCTTCTAAGGCTCCTAAGGCATAAATTAATTATTCTGCAAATGTGTAGATACAAAGAAAAAAAAAGTCACATTTTATTCTGGCATTTTCTGTAGAAATACTTTCAGGATAATGAAGTAGTATATGAGGAAGAGGTCTTCCTTTCTAAAGAATCCCAGCCAGTAAATTCAGAAGGCTGGAGAAGGAATATCACCTTTTGTAATACATACCAATATACTGCAATGAGGCAACAATTAGCAATTGATGCTAAAATTATTAGAGAAAACTTAACTGGGAATTTTATAATGGATGAATCAAGCTGACAACACCTGAACTGACCGACTGATTTTAACATCACAAAACACATTTTCTTGATGAAAAGAAATACATGTCACCAACTAGGACTCTTGCCAAAAAATAATTGAAAGTAAATCTAATCAAGCATCTGTCGACCCATAAATTTACAGGAAATACAGAAAACTGAAAAACATGTTAAATTTTGCCAGAGATACACTCAGCCAAAACCAGAATGAGGAAAATTATATAGAACAAATGACTTATATAGAACAAATGACTTAATTTTCTTCAACAAATAAATTATAAAGGAAAAAAAGGAAGAGGCAACCAACAGATTAAAATTTAAAAAGCATATTAAGGCCAGGCACAGTGGCTCTTGCCTGTAATCCCAGCATTTTGGGAGGCTGACGTGAGCAGATCACCTGAGGTCAGGAGTTCGAGACCAGCCTGGCCAACAGGGTGAAACCTTGTCTCTATCAAAAATATAAAAAATTAGCTGGGCACGGTGGCACATGCTTGTAATCGTAGCTGCTTGGAAGGCTGAGGCAGGAGAATCCCTTGAACCCGGGAGGCAGAGGTTGCAGTGAGCCAAGAACGTGCACTGCACTCTAGCCTAGGGGACAGAGCAAGACTCCGTCTCAAAAAAAATTAAATAAATAAATAAATGGCATATTGACCACCAAATGTAATATATGTGAATTTTGTTTGGCTCCTAATTTCAACAAATTATGAAAACATATGAGACAATGGGGAAATATGAACACATGATGATAAAAATAATTATTAATCTTTTAGATGACATTTTTTAAAAGACTCTTTATTTCTAGAGTTCTCTGAGTCTGTTTTCTCCAGATGAAGTAATATGTTCTCTAAGTATAGTAAAACTGTAGTTCTTCAAAGTATAGAAGAAGCTCCGGGGGTCCCTGGATCTTTTCAGGATGCTAAAGTTCTGAATATCTGTTCATAATGACCTAAGTATACTTATAACACTACTGAGCTGTACACTTAAAAATGGTTCAGATGATAAATTTTATATTTTTGCCACAATAAAAAAGTTAATCACCAAAAAAGACCACACATCTCTTTTTATTTGAATTTCTCAATAAACAATGTCTCTTGCCCAAAGCAATTTCAAAGTTTACTATATTAAAATAACTTAGCCAGGCACGGTGGCTCACACCTGTAATTGCAGCACTTTGGGAACACCAAGGCAGGTGGATCACCTGAGGTCGGGAATTCGAGACCAGCCTGACCAATATGGAGAAATCTTGTCTCTATTAAAAATACAAAATTAGCCGGGTGTGGTGGCACACACCTGTAATCCCAGCTATTTGGGAGGCAGAGGCAGGAGAATCACTTGAACCTGGGAGGCTGAAATCGCAGTGAGCTGAGATTGTGCCATTGCACTACAGCCTGGGCAACAAAAGCGAAACTCCATCTCAAAAAAGAAATAATAATAATAATAACTTAGAGAACCAATTTTGATTCATCACCTAATCAAAAAATAAACTAGTTCTAAAAATAAAAATATGTAAATTCAAACTAAATCAAAAATCTGTAACAGAATTTTCAGCTATGAAGATGTTACTGTTTCTTAGTTTAATAGTGTAACAAATTAGAAAATTAACAGTAAGCCAGGGTATCATTATCGGTTCTTCAGGATAACCTAAGAGATATAAAACATTTTCTTTTGATCCTATGCATGAAATTTGAGACAAACTGTGAGGTTTTTTTTGCATGCAATCATGAATGTTAAGAATAAAATATGTATTAAAAATTTATCCAGCCAGATGAGGTTGCTCAGGCCTGTAATCCCAGCATTTTGGGAGGCCGAGGCAGGCATATCGCTTGAGCTCAGGAGTTCCAGACCAGCCTGGGCAACATGGCAAAACCCTGTCTACAAAGCACAAAAATTAGCCAGGCAGTACAGTGGCATGCACCTGTAAGTACAGCTACTACAGAGACTGAGGTGGGAGAATTGCTTATGCCCGGGAGGCGGAGGCTGCAGTGAGCTGAGATTGTGCCACTGCACTCCAGCTTGGGTAATACAGCAAGACTCTCTTGTCTCAAAAAAAAAAAAATTATCTATAAAATACTGTGCATCATCTTTACCAAACCAAATGTTAATTTTATCAAGTTTTCTTCTCTGAAAACTATCCAGATAAAAAATTTGAATGTGTGAGAGTGAAACTACATTAAATAAAAATTGGTGGAACATTTCTAGACAGAAAGCAGTTTAGCTACATTTACTGAAAAAAATCAGTACCTTTTGGCCCAATTAATTCCACTTTTGAAAATTTAGTTTTAAGAAATAATCTAGAATACAGGTTTAACCATAAAGATATTTATCACAATGCTAAGCAAATAGGTTATTACTTCAATATTACTAAGTATTTATATTAATAATAGTACATCATACAATAAATTAGGCTGCCATTAAAAATCATTTACAGTAAATTTTTAAAGACAATTTTAATTGCCCTGACATAAATATTATGGGGTGTAGGGAAGAAACAGAATACAAAGTATACTGTTTCACCAAGTAAGATCTAAGGTTATTTCTAGGCAACAAAGTTATAGGTAAGTTTTAGTCCCCTCTTTTGATAATTTTTAATACTTCCTTAACTTCAAATAGTAAACAGATCTGTTTCACCAAGTAAGATCTAAGGTTATGTCTAGGTAACAAAGTTATAGGTAAGTTTTAGTTCCCTCTTTTGATAATTTCTAATATTTCCTTAACGTCAAACAGTAAACAGGTCTTCCTTTATAATACTTTTTAAAATTATGTATCACCTCCACCAAACTGTAATATATTACTATTATTTCAACTATGTAAAAGATACATACAGGGTGGTAGGATTATGGGTATTTTTTATTCTGTTCTCTATAATATATATCCATTGTCACTTTATGAAAGAACACTTCATTGTTTTGTAGGAAGTACAGATTATTGCCAAGGTAAGTAAAATAAAATAGTAAAAAAAGTAAAAAAAAATAGAAATATCAAGGTCAGCTATAAAATGAGTTATCTTTTAATTCTAGGGCTAATCTTTGTAAACATTGCAAAAGAGTTGAATTAAGTTCAACTGAAAAAGATCAGAGTCTACCAAAGAAGAGAATTATAAAATAACCAACAGGCCAGGAGCAGTGACTCACACGCATAATCCTAGCACTTTGGGAGGGCAAGGAAGGCAGATTGCTTGATCGTAGGAGTTTGAGACCAGCCTAGACAACACTGGCAAAATCTCATCTCTATAAGAAATATACAAATTAGCCGAGTATGTTGGCTTGGGTCTGTAGTCCCAGCTACTCAGGAGGCTGAAGTCCGAGGATCATTTGAGCCCAGGAAGTGGTGGCTGCAGTGGTCTGAGGTTCACCACTGCATTCCAGCCTGGGCAACAGAGCAAGTCTCTCAAAATAATACAAGCCAACAAAAATTATCACATCATTTCAAAAGGTAGAAGTAGAAGTACTTTATCAAGCATTCTTAACTAATTTTCAAGAATGACTTATTAGGCCAGGAGCAATGGCTCACATCTGTAATCCCAGCACTTTGGGAGGTCAAGATGGGTAGATCACTTGAGGTCAGGAGTTCAAGACTAGCCTGGCCAATATGG